TTTGGTCATGACGTATGTAATGCGCCGCTAACAGGGTTAACTGGTATATTAAGCTTTCACAAATCCCGTAGGAAGAAGGGCGATAACGTCTTCCCACTTGAGAAAATTCACCAAACATTGTCTTTGCTTTAAATCCTCGATCTCGGGAATTGTTGCCAACACAGAATGTATGGCTCTTCACTGATTGGCCAGTGTGCGGTCTACAACTTCTGGCATTCTTGCAAACCGTCCAGTGTATTCTGATTCCTGACCTAGTTGCTGGAGAGAAATGAAAGTGAGCGGAGGCACAAGGTGGCGCCAGCCTGATATGTCCACATTATTCTAGAAATAAAACAAAATTAAGCATAAAGTCAACAATATTACATGTTTCTATGTTCTTATTGCACTGTCCAATACCTCTTATTACAGAAATATATATATAAATCAGAGATACATTACATACACCTTTGTTTTTAAATTTACAAAGCCAAATTAAGGTTAGCAAAATAAGCCAGCCTTCTCACATGTGTTATTTTTGCCTTTGTCTGCACTAAAAGCGTCAGGACGATATATGATTCAAACAGAGTAACATTATAGAGTAGTAACTTTTATTTATTTTCAATCAAGAGCCCACTTTGGAATGACTGTCGATTAATTGTGCCCATAAATGCAGCGTTAATTATCCCTCAGTAAAACGGGTAATTAAGCTGCTAATTGTGTTTTCATTCTCAAATCCAAATGGGAATCCGTGCAATGTGACCTGCATATTTGGAGAGGATGGAGAGAAAAAAATAAAATAAAATAAATAAATGTAAAAAGTGCTGACTGCAGTTGTGTAACTATGACACCCTTAGTGGAAATGGAATTCATAATTGGCCAATGAGGAGTCAGGACGCGGATGAAAACAGCGGGCCATGGCAGCGCCGTCTTAATGGGCCAAGGTTAATTAAAGGTTAATTGTGAGGGGGAGGGGCTGTGATGTATGGCTCTGGTGAACAATAGTGGCCTCTAGAGGTGAGTGATGGCCACGGTACGCACTGATTGTAAATGCGTATGCTTACAGTACGTTTAAGTATCTACCACTCCAAATGTTACGTCACAGTCTTTCCTGCTCAATATGTAGACTTTTCCAGGTTAAGCAACTTCATCTCCATGGTTACAAGCAGGTGACGCACGCTCCTTCTGAAAAGTTACATAGTCCACCTTTAATTATACTCAATTTGCTTTTGCAACCGTGTTCCCAAATTTTGCTTTTTTAAAAAAACTTAACAAAATAGCTCACGACAATCTGCACAGACTGTCACCTTCTCCTGAGCTCAAATACTCTATTCCACCTTGTGATGTCATCAGAGGTAATCCAGGAGGTCCTCAAAACTCAAATTCGTCTGAACTTTGATCGTAGCAGCTATTGTTTTTAGCCTCATTTGAACAACTTTAGTCTTCAGTGCACCAAAAACATTTGTGACCACTGCAGGCAACGACTGTATTCATTTTGTATGCTCAGAATACACTGCAAAAAACAATATCTAGATAAAATAAAATGACTTAAATTAAGAAGATTTGACTTTATTTGAGTAGATTCAATTTGACAAGTAAAATTATCAATCAGTGGAATAAGTGTGTTTTTCTTAATTCAAGCAAAATTCGATTTTGTTGCTTATTTCAAGTGCAAAAAGTTGTTATTTTTCTTATTTTAAGTGTAGCAAAATGTATTTTCATATTTTAAGTACAAAATCTCTTATTCCACTGGCAGATAATTTTACATGTCAAGAGAAATTTACTCAAATCCTGAAAATACTTTCTTAATTCAAGTTGTCTTAACTTGGCTAGATTTAGTTTTTTTGCAGTGTAGCTATTGTTTTTAGCCTCATTTGAACAACTTTAGTCTTTATGACCACTGCTGGCAACCATGTGTTCATTTTGTATGCTCAGAATACATATTGCTTGCCATAAATTTGTCCAAAAAGTATCACTTAACTGTACATTTAATGGGCTCATACATTAACTTTTATTTTTTTCTCTCTTTTTTTTTTTTAATATAGAGATTGTAGAACAGCTGGATATATAATTTATTTTTGATACATGCCTTATTTCATGTTCAAAGTATATTTTATTTATTTTTTGTTTTATACATCGCAAAACTGCTCTAAGGTACAGATTTGTATTCTGTATTTTTTTCAATTTGAAAGTTTTGCATAAATTATCAATAACAAAGTGTTTTTATGAGTGAAAGAACCACTGAATAAAAGCATCGTGTAACTTTAAAATAATAATTTGAATAATCGTGATTTCAATATTGACCAAAATAATCGTGATAATGATTTTTTCCATAATCGAGCAGCCCTAGCTTGAAGTGTTGGGAAAGCAGATATTAATATTAAATAAATAAAATAAATAAATAAATGGGCTTTTTATTGGATCAGTGTCATGATGAAAGAGCCAATCACATCTTGGATACAGGGTCTTTAAAGGTGCACTTTACACTACATCTTCGTTTCCAGAGAAATGTAAATTGTTTTGCAAGGATTTCCTACAATTCTGCCGTATAAAGGCAGAACGCTGTAACATCATTTTTGGTCAAAATAATTCATGTCATTTTGGGTGTATTTGAGACCTCCTTTATCATGTGAATAAATATTGTGAACCAATTTGATTGTTTTAACGAGAAAATAAAGCGTTATGACAATCATAACATCCAAAGTTTCACCCTTTGGAGAGTTAAGGTCTTTTGCCTTTGTAGGGCAGTAAAGGCATCAAAACTTATCTGTCTCAGTGAAGACAAGACTGCCACCAGGTCAAGTAACACGTCACATCTGTGGAGAGGCGACCCCACTCAATAAAAACACATGTTGTTGAATAAATGCAAGGTTCTACATTGTTAAATTGCATTGTCATAGTGTCGAACCTTCCATACAAATCAATAAGATCTCAATGAGAACAAAAAAGTTACACGCTGCTCTTTTATTCAATACAGCTACACATAAAAGTCCAATAAAAACACCATATTCACAAACCAGTGGCTGAATACATGGGTTTACAAATCTCATCCATCTATGCCCTATCTCCTTGATCAGACGCATAATTCCTCCACACATTTGCATGAGTCTCCAGCGGTGCCTTGTCCTCCCACACTCTCTATAGCACCAGGTTTATGCATCATCCTCCAATCTCACGCTCACACCACGGCCAGCCGCTACAAGGTGTTAGCTCCAGATTAGCCGACGCATATCTGGCAACAATGTCCAGTCCGGTCCATTATTTTTCAAATTCTGCGTCAACTTGGGCAGATTTTGCGTCACCCGGGCCACTCTGCCGCCTCGTGTCACCCCTGCCCCTCCCCCCCCTCCCTTCTCCCCATACCCTGCCTATGACAACCACTAATGACCCTCCCTCCTCTCCCTCCTCCCTCCCTCCTCCCCTCTTTCCTGCCTCTCGCACACACATACACACTACGGCCGGTCTGAATAGGCTGGCCCCACCTCGCCCGCACTAAATATGGAACACAATTGAAATCGAGAAATCCTGTCAGCAGATAGGGTATAATAATATTGACCTATGCTTCATTAGGGGGGCTTTTATACCGGCGTGCGCGTATCAGAGCCTGGGGTAGACTCATTAAAACTTCAATCTCGCATTAAGACAATAAGGCAATAAATGTAAGTGGAGATATAGTGCAGATATTGGGCCTAGTATTGTAGAAAGTGCTTTAGAAGTGTCAGTAAAGCTCGGGCACCGCATGTGATCTTAGTAATGGATCTAAGTTCTGAAGAGTCTGATGACGTCATGATTTAAGATGGATGGACGGAGCCTATATGTGCTGTAAGTCGATGGGAGATTTACAGGTTTTGAATGAAATATTAACCTAACTGCTTTCAAACACAATGTTATTTGAAAAGGCATTGGCTCCACAAACTTGCCATGGTAATATTTTGGGTTTAAAGTTCTTTCAAGTGACAACAATCACGTCTTCGGGGTTGAATAATGGCACTGTTTTCTGGAGAAATTACCAAAAAATATGTATTATCGTAGTTAATTTATGTTGATAAGACATTGGACTTGGAGCCAGTTTTTGTTTCATGTGGATAGGCCCAGTGATTATAAAGATATGAACCATAAACAAGAACAACAAATCTACAATCTGACAGCTCCAGCTCCATTTTCTAGTATAGGAATTCAAGAATGCAAGCTATTAAATGGGTTAATTTCAAGTATGTGTTTACATTTGTTTGGGTATGTTTCCCAAATTGTGGTCTGAAGCCCCCTAGAGAGCCTTGGCAGTACTGCATTGGGGCCCCAAAAGTCTGCACACTAAGCACTTTTTTCCCCTGATAGAAAAAAAAATATATATGTGTGCAAATGAAGATGATTCCTCTCAATATGAAACAACAATGGGCACACTATTTATCATCTTAATAATGGCATAAACGTATAACAGTATTTGGAGGAGAAACCTTCATGTTTTTAAAGATTTTAAGTAAAGGCTCACATAGGATTTTTTTAAAATCAAAGCTGGAAATCTCTATTAGTATTTTTGTATTCTTATTGGAACGTTTAATGAAAGTTAGTGTGTGTGAGTGTGTGTGTGCTTATGTTGGGCTCTCATGAAGTGTCTTTATACTAAAATGAATAATACAAGCTGATGTGCCCATGCTGAGAGATAGGCTCCCTGTGACAGAAACAAAGTGCCTGCCTTGTGATGGACTTCTAGAACCACTCACTAATGAGAAGTATTTCCATTGAAATTATAACAGGCCTAATTAAGTTCTAATTAAGCCTTGAGTATCCATACATTTATCATAATGATCATATAGAGCCACCTAGAACATACCATAAGCCAAACATACCCTCTCCCTGAAATAATTAAATAAATAATAAAACTGACAGTGGAAGGCTTGAGAAAGTGCAGCCCGCAGCTGATTGGCCCCCGCGTGTGCCGACGCCGATGACGCAGGGCGCCGAAGCACGTGGGCAAGGGTATCCAGCGCTCACATAAACAAAGCCACATTGGCCACTCTGGCTTAGTACCGCTCGTACCGCTGTCAGTGAGCGCGCGGACCCTGCGCAGACCGGGCCATTGTGACTACCCTCTCCACGCGGGATTCTTGGACATTTTACCGTTTTGTGAATGCGCCCTGATTTCTAAACGCATGGATTGAAACAGATACGCCTCATGTGAAAAGGTAAGACGCCTTTCTCTGTCCCATTACGCGCCTACTTTGTTTGAGCATCGTTATTTTATTGTTTTGAAACCTTTCTCCATGATTTCTCTTTTAATATGCTGGTTTTGGATGATTTTGGACATTTTTTTTGGATGGCTTTTCGCGCGTAATTGGAGATTGCGAATGTGGCCAACTTATGCAAGCGCTGTCAAGTGCACCAACTTCGGCTGCAGGTGCAAAGTGAAGATTTACAGTTTAGAATAAAATAATGCACGTCTAAGTTTTGCTTCATATTCAAATGTAAAATATAAAAGTGAGTTGCGTAAAATAGAAATAAATGAACTATGCATGTCTTTTTACGCAGCTGTCAGCGTGTGTGGTTATAACAGAAGCTCTTTTGGTCTTCAGAAGAAAGATTGATTCATTTTCATAATCTCGTGAGAACTGACATAGTTTTGTGTGTGGTTTTATTAGGAGAGACCAGAACACTGCCGCTTTGTTGACTCCTGACACCCACTCCACTCTTCAGCCCGTGCACTTGTCACCGCCACACTGTCTGAAGACCCGGGGTAACGCGAGGCCGAAATAAAGACTATAAAAGCCGTGTGGAGCTCCCGGTAGTTCTGCTTTCAAACGGGTGAGCGTTCCCCGGCAGTGCGCATAAACCGTGGTGCGTCGTGCCGTGCAGCCATGCCCTGCGTCCAGGCTCAGTATGGATCATCACCTCAAGGCGCCAGTCCTGCATCCCAGAGCTACAGCTACCACAGCGCGGGCGAGTACAGCTGCGACTTCCTCACGCCCGAGTTTGTGAAGTTTAGCATGGACTTGACCAACACTGAGATCACTGCCACCACGTCTCTGCCGAGCTTCAGTACCTTCATGGACAACTACAACAGTGGCGCGTACGACGTCAAGCCCCCCTGTCTCTACCAGGTGCCACACGCGGGCGAGCAGTCCTCCATCAAAGTGGAGGACGTCCCGATGCACGGGTACCACCAGCAGAGCCACCTCACAGCCCCGAGCGAAGACATGATGCCGCACGCGGGGCCTATGTACTTCAAGCCCTCCTCGCCCAGCACGCCCAACTTCCAGGCAAGGATTTTTAAAGTATTCAAAATACGCCATGGACAAGTCACAAAAATAGGCGCCTTCTATACTATCTGCTTTTAAAACCCATGGTACTAGCATGCTTTCTATTTTACTGCCTTCATACGGTGTAAAATCCGTGCAGGGAACCGCTGACATTTACCGAGATTCTAAATGCCAAATGGTGAAAGGGAGCAGCCACTGAAATGAACGTGTTATTTGTCATTCCCTGCCTGCTGCTCGTGACATTTAGAGGAGTAGATAAGCATAAAATGCATTTTATTCCCAGATAGTGTTGTTTGGGTGCAGAAAAAATAAGAAACTAGCAGAAAATGAAACCACAAAAATAAAATGCTGATTTGAGACCAATCTCGATGTGAAAAACTAGAACGCAAGTTGAATTATTAAAAGATGTTTGTTGTAAAAGAAAATGCTCTTAAATAGTTGTAGAAAATGCTGTGCTCTGACTTGTGAACTTGCGCTGTGGCAGGTGCAGCCCAATCACATGTGGGAAGACCCGGGCTCTTTGCACAGTTTCCACCAGAACTACGTGGCCACGCACATGATGGAGCAGCGCAAGAACCCCGTGTCCCGGCTCTCCTTGTTCTCCTTCAAACAGTCTCCTCCCGGAACCCCCGTGTCCAGCTGTCAGATGCGCTTTGACGGCCCGCTGCACGTGTCCATGAACCACGACAGTCACGGCGGCGCGCAGAGCTTCGCGGTGCCCAGCGCTCTGAGGAAACAGGCCGGGCTGGCGTTCCCGCACTCGCTACAGCTGGGACACGGGCACCAGCTGGTGGACAGCCAGGTGCCCTCCCCACCGTCCAGGGGCTCCCCGTCTAACGAAGGGCTGTGCGCGGTGTGTGGGGACAACGCCGCGTGTCAGCACTACGGCGTCCGGACCTGCGAGGGCTGCAAAGGCTTCTTCAAGGTGCGGGTTTATCCACTCTCAGATCTGACATGGAGCTGTTTGAGCGCTTGATTCAGTCAGAGAGGATAAAATAATACAAAGTAAATTTAATCTGATTAAGGAGGGAAGTGCAAAAGAGATGCTCTGTGTGCAAAAAACACACAGGCCTGAATATTACAAAGAATCAGAAACATCGTAAATGAAACCAACTATTTAATATGATAATAGTATTTATATTTAAATTATTCGTTTTCTTTGCTGATTTTCTTATTTTTAAGATTTAGATTTTCAAAACAAATTCAGTCAAATTGCTTCATCTTAGATAAAGGCCTTTCAATTCATAACGTTATTTCTCTCCTCTTTTCACAGCGAACCGTGCAGAAGAATGCAAAGTACGTGTGTTTAGCAAATAAAAACTGTCCTGTGGACAAACGCCGGAGAAACCGGTGCCAGTTCTGTCGCTTCCAGAAGTGCCTTGTGGTGGGGATGGTTCGGGAAGGTGCGCATTCATGTGCTTTTAAATTCAAACCTAGTGCATTTTACGCGCGGCGTTTCACGGCCTTGTTGTTTACTGACATTATTTGCTTTTTTGTCTCAGTCGTCCGGACGGATAATCTGAAAGGTCGCAGGGGGAGACTACCGTCCAAACCCAAAAGTCCCCAGGAGCCCTCTCCGCCCTCGCCACCCGTCAGTCTCATTAGCGCCCTGGTCCGGGCCCACGTGGACTCCAACCCGTCTATGTCTGCGCTCGACTACTCCAGAGTAAGTACCAGGACACACGCACAAACAACTCAAGCCAAACAACTCCAGAAAAATATTTCACACGGTCAGAGTTGTGTTTTACACATGAAGCTTGTTTTGTGGGAGTTTTGTAAGATCACTTTATGCGCATTTTATGAATAACTTGAATAAAGTATGAATGAAAATTTCCACCTCAACCTGCCTATAGTTTGTGATGTATGTGTATGGCAGCTGTCAGTGAGTCTTTTAAATGTTAGAGACACAGATGCTGCGGACACTGGACCAATAGAGCTGACACAGATCTGCCATTACACCTGTCACTCAGCGCACAAAGGGACTGACCATCACCTGCCATCTCTGTCACTCTCCTAAGCCTGAGTGAAACCTGCCAAATCCAGCTCAAACCTCCCAAATCCCCCGCGCTATCTTTAATTAACACACTCACCCAATAATTTGCTATCTTTCCTTCCTCTCCATTTCACGCCTTATATATTTTAAAGAGGCCCTTTTATAACGAATGTCTTTTAATTGCTTCCCCCAGTTTCAGTCCAGCCCGGACTTCCAAATGAGCGGCGACAACACGCAGCACATCCAGCAGTTTTACGACCTGCTCACCGGCTCCATGGAGATCATCCGGGGCTGGGCCGAAAAGATCCCGGGTTTCTCCGACCTCCCCAAACAGGACCAGGACCTGCTGTTTGAATCCGCCTTCCTGGAGCTGTTTGTGCTGCGTCTCGCCTACAGGTAACCCCCCCTCTCCTCCTCCTCCTCCCCCCGTCCTCAATCATTCCTGTTATTGCTGTGTGCTTTATTAGCGTTTGGTAATTAGAAGTTAATGACGGTGTTAATTCCAGGTCCAATCCGGTGGAAGGGAAACTTATATTTTGTAACGGCGTGGTGCTGCACAGGCTACAGTGCGTGCGCGGATTCGGCGAGTGGGTGGACGCCATCGTGGAGTTTTCTTCCAATTTGCAGAGCATGAATATAGACATCTCCGCGTTCTCGTGCATCGCTGCCCTCGCCATGGTGACAGGTGAGAAAAGCGCGCGGGTGAAATGAACTTTACGCGTGTGATAAAGGCAAACGTCTAAAAGCGGGTTTCTCTCTCCTCTTTCTCTTTCTTTTTTTTTTTTTTTTTTTTTTTTAATCTCATCTTTCTCAGAGCGACACGGCCTAAAGGAGCCAAAGCGAGTCGAGGATCTCCAAAACAAGATCGTCAACTGCCTCAAAGATCAAGTGACGTTCAATGGCGGCGGACTGAACCGGCCCAACTACTTGTCAAAACTGTTGGGAAAGCTGCCCGAGCTGCGCACGCTATGTACCCAAGGTCTGCAGCGTATCTTTTACCTAAAACTAGAAGACCTAGTACCGCCCCCGGCAATAATTGACAAACTTTTCCTCGACACATTACCTTTCTGAGTCTTCACAAACAAAAATATGGACTTCCAAAAAGACAGAAGGACTGAATTATTGTTCTAATTTGTGAATAGAGCAGGATAAGGATTCGTGTTATAGGCCTTTGGATTGTTTGATTGACAGAGCTCTTACACTTTATTCTAGCGGGTTTCCAAAGATGTCTTGTGTATATTTGTCGTCAGATCACTCTTTAATTTATTTTAAATATGTATAAACACAATTACTTTTACTTTATATCCTTATTTATTTATAACAAACGATCAACGTATTCGCCTTCACGCAGCGCAGAGAGGATGTGGCCATGGCAACTGTTAATTAAACTTACCCTCTCCACGAATTTACGAACAAAATTAACTCATTACGAGACACTTTTTACTCACTTTTAGCCACTTAATTGGCGCTGCCATGGCAACAGACCTCTTTGCTCTCTGTGCTTCAGTCTTAACTTTACTTTGTGGCTGGTCTGACGCTAAACTTTCAATGGAGACACCTTTGCGTAACCCACCCTTGATGTAATATATGCCATTTATAAATATATGCTACCATTTGCGCACACCACGCTGTATATGACAAATAGATGATGTACAAAGTTTGTTACAATTGACTTTTTTTTTTTCTTTCTTGCTGCCTCGTGCCTATGTGTATCTGACAGGCCCCCCATCCACGAAGCATGTTCTTTTCCCCCCGATTTTTGTTCTTATAGGCACTTGCTGAGGTGATGTCTATATCAAACATATACCGGACACTATGTAGTCTGCTAGATTTGATACGGATTCGTAGTTCTTCTTTTTCTGTACGACGCGTTCTGTGGCAGATTCTTCTCCTGTGTATAGAGACCCGAGGGACCCATGGTGTTTGTAAAACTGTCAGACATTCCTTATTTGTATGTGCTGTAAGTATTGTTGCTGTTAAATATAAACGTTTCTATATATTTATGATTTATATCGCCAAGAGCTACACTTATTACGCATGGTGCAAAATTGGACAAAAAATGGACCATCCCGCCGAGCACGTTGTGTCTCTATGTTTTTTCCTGTCTTCTTCCTTAAACGTCTAGAGCTAGTTCAAAGTTTTTTATATTAATTTATTTATATGCCCCGCGACATCTTCTCCTTAAAAAGCCAGAAGGGTTTGTTTGTTCGTTCGTTGATGCTACTATTGCAGCTCTGATCCACCACCTCCGAGAACTTTAGAGAGAAAGAAGAAATATTTAATGTTTACAAATAAAACCTTGAAATCAAAGCTTTTGCTAAATAGTTTCTCTCACTTTTATAATAATTGTTCAGTTGATTTGTTTGGTGTAGGGGCGCGCCACAGTGCAACAGGCCTGTGCGTAAAAGTCCAACACTTTTTAAGTGCAATAAAAATTAAGGATATTTGGATTTTTGGAACTTTTATTATTTTTTATAATTTAATGTTGATTTATTTGGCATGTTTTGTCAGCTGAAATAGAGGTGATTTTATTTATTTATTTTTGATTTTATTTTGTTAGAGTGAATCTGCGGAGCGTCTTTACGCATAGATTTGTATTTAAAAATAATCGAGTAATCCCTTTTTGAATTACAACTCAAGATATTTCGTATGGAATATTTTCGCAATTACTAATTTAAATCATAATTTGGCACGTTATTTTCTATCGACAAAAGCTTGAATCAAAATGGCCTGTTGCGCTTCAAGTAACAGAAATTACGCACACTATTTTAAAAGACAAATCAGTCCATATAAACACATCTATGCTAATGAGAAAGTTTCGATTATTATTTACAAACACGACTTGTTGCTGTAGTTTTGGATTCTCTGTCCTCAAATCTGACATTTCATCCAAATCCCACGCGCCTTTTTTTTGTTCATCCCCAAACGCGCGGTGCCTTCCTCTTATTTACTCCTCCATCGTTCAACAATTGTCTGACAAGTTTTATAGCAGGGACAATGTGTTATCGAAAACAAACCACCAACCAAAAGAGAGGCTCGCGCGACATTTGGAGAACAGGTGCGCGCGCTGATCTCTGGGTTTATAACGCCGCAGATTTGACGCGTAATTTGGATCTGACGCAGGAACACGACCTTTTTTGGAAACAGCAGCGATATATAGCCTAATATTTTTTCTCTGACGAAGCAAATCGGTCTCTACTGAGTTAGCCCTCCAACTTCTTCACCTCATCTGACCACCCACACCGAATGATCACTTTCAAACGAATTATTTTTAGGTCTTTCATTAGCGGTGGTGTAATCTTCCTCAAAGCGAAAACCTCTAGTGATGATTTGAACTCAAAGTGCATCTCCTGTCACGCGTCCTCTCCTCTCCTTCCCTTCTCTTCCCTTCTCTTCTCTTCTCTTCTCTCGCGCTGCGCAAAACTGACGCATGGCTCCGAGGTGCGTCCGGGGCTTTTCCCTGCACGCGCCTTCTTGCACCCATCGTCACGTGATCAGAACGCAGCGACACGGGGGAAAGGGAAAGGGAACAGGGAACGTTTTGGGAGAGACGGCGCCGTACGTGCCACTTGCCAGGCGATGAATTGTCTAAATAATGAGCTCGTCAGCGTAAAGTGCTAATTCCAAGGCAAATTGGGATTACGCTCAGACGCAGTTTGCTGACATTTAGCAGATCTGCTCCAAAAGGCTTCATTACGATGTCACAAGTTTCCAATATTGACTCAAAGTACAGTTAGACAAATGGAATACGCGCGCTTCGTATTTCCACGCACGGATCCTAATGACTGTGGCCACTCCTCCAATAAACCCCGAGTTCTTACATTGCAAAAATAATTAAAACACTTCTACTCGAATGGTGACTTGGTTCTGTTAGTGTGAAATAACTTCTTTTCTCTGACGCAGCGACCTAAGTGGATAAATAGCTCACATGTAAAAGAAACAGCACGACAACTCCAGCCACAGTTACGCTAAGTGCTTCTAAATGTATTCACTATTCCTGAACGTTTACAGCTTAATTTTTAAAAAAAGGATAGAAAATAGCTCTTTCTGTGCAGTATAGGCACATTAAAACAATTGGATGCATACTTCTAAAAGCAACCACGTTTTCTCATGGATGTAAGATGTAAAATTCAGTACACGAGCTTTAAATGTCAATGTTAGAGCTCAAAGCTGTTACACATGATTACAAGAAAATAGAAATGCGTTGACACTTTTTTTTTAACCTAAATGTTTATCTAGAAAAGGATTTTATATGTTCAAAACCTAATCTATGGGCAGAAGAGGCTAGAAGAATAGAATTTACTGTTCTTCACTGCTCATGTGTGATTCAACAGACATCAAATCTCAAAGTGGAGCCCAACGCAAAATCAAAGGCAAATTTTAGGACTGTAGAATTTAATTTGAGAAATGTACGGAACAATATATATTCATATCAAGTCCTGACATTTTGCGAACAATCAACCATTTAAAAGATCAAGCTATAGTATGTTTTAAAGAGTTAATTACGACAACAACAGTCCTAATTTTTCTCAAACCCATGTATATTTCTTTTATCAGAGCGTGCATACCTTTAAAAGATGCAAAAGACATCCCATAATTCTAAATGTGATACATGTCCAAAGCTGAATCCATGGGCAAATTTTAGATTTATAGAATTGTAATTGAAAAGAGACTTGAAGAATATAATTTACTCTTCTTCACTGCTCTTAAAGGATACAACAGACATCCAATCTCAAAGTGGAGCCCAACGCAAAATCAAAGGCAAATTTTAGGATTGTAGAGTTTAATTTGAGAAGTGTACGGAACAATATATATTCGTATCAAGTCCTGACATTTTGCGGACAATCCACCATTTAAAAGATCAACTTATAGTATGTTTTAAATAGTTAATTCCTATGACAACAACCCTTATTTTTCTTAAACCCATGTATATTTCCTTTATCGGAGCGTGCATACCTTTAAAAAAATACAAAAGACATCCTAAAATTGTAAATGTGGTACATGTCCAAAGCCAAATCCATGGGCAAATTTCAGAAATGCAGAACTTTAATTGAAAAGAGACTAGAGTAATATAATTTACTGTTCTTCACTGGTCATGTGCGTTTAAAGGATACAACAGACATCATATCTCAAAGTGGTACCCAAAGACAAAATCATTACAATTTTAGAACTGTAGAATTTAATTTAAGAAATGTACGGAACAATATATATTCGTATCAAGTCCTGTTGTAGGTGACATTTAAAAGATCGACCTATAGTAGGTTTTAAATAGTTGATTACTATGACAACAACCCTTATTTTTCTCAAACCCATGTATATTTCTTTAATAAAAGTGTGCATGCCCTTAAAAGATACAAAAGACATCCTAAAATTCTGTATGTGGTACATGTCCAAGGCAGAATCTATGGGAAAATTTCAGAATTGTAGAATTGTAATTGAAAAGACAACAGAAGAATATATTTAACTGTTCTTCATTGTTCATGTGCTCTTGAAGGATACAACAGACATTCTCAAAGTGGAGCCCAATGCAAAATCAAAGGCAAATTTTAGGATTGTAGAATTTAAAATGAGAAGTGTACAGAACAATATATATTCATATTAAGTCCTGGTGACATTTTGCGAACAATCCACCATTAAAAAGATTGTTTTGAATTGTTATTTACTATGACAACAGTCCTAATTTTAAAATTCGAAATGTGGTACATGTCCAAAGCCAAATCTATGGGCAAATTTCAGAATTGTAGAACTGAATTTGAAAAGTGTATGGAACAATATCTATTCCAATCAAGTCCTGTTATAGGTGACGTTTAAAAGGTCGAACTATAGTATGTTTTAAATAGTTAATTACTATGACAACAACCCTTATTTTTCTTAAACCCATGTATATTTCCTTTATCGAAGCATGCATGAGCTTAAAAGATACAAAAAACATCCTAAAATTCTAAATGTGGTACATGTCCAAAGCTGAATCCATGGAAAATTTCAGAATTCAGAGACATCCAATCTCAAAGTGGAGCCCAATGCAAAATCAAAGGCAAATTTTAGAATTGTAGAATTTCATTTGAGAAGTGTACAGAACAATATATATTCATATCAAGTCCTGGTGGCATTTTGCGGACAATCCAGCATTAAAAAGATCATTTTGAATTGTTATTTACTATGACAACAGTCCTAATTTTTCTCAAAGCCATGTATATTTCTTTTATCGAAGCGTGCACAACCTTAAAAGATACAAAAGACATCCTAAAATTGTAAATGTGGTACATAAAACATTTGAGAACCACTGTCAAAAACAATTGTACAGAATTTCCGCTTGTGCATAATCCATATATACAAACCAAAAAAAAAATCCATTACATTTCTCACTGTCCAAAGCTGAATCCATGGGAAAATTTAAGAATTGTAGAATTGAATTTGAAAAATGTATGGAGCAATATCTATTCATATCAAGTCCTGTTATAAGTGACATTTTGCGGACACTCCACCATTTAAAAAAATCGACCTGTAGTATGTTTTAAATAGTTAATTACTATGACAACAGCCCCAATTTTTCTTAAACCCATGTATATTTCCTTGATCGAAAAAATTATACAAAAGACATCCTAAAATTCTAAGATGAATCCATGGGAAAATTTTGAAAAGTGTATGGAACAATATCTATTCGTAAGTCCGGTTGTAGGTGACATTTTGAGAATATTCTACCATAAAATTGCAAATTGCTATGACAACAGCCCTAATTTTTCTCAAGCCCATCCTTTATCGTAGCGTGCGTACCCTTAAAAGATACAAAAGACATTCAAAAATTGTCACTGTGGTAAGAGAAATTGCTAAAAAAAAACAGTCTATTACTATAAATTTTCCTTGGCGTACAGTAATTTAGTCATGGGGTCCGGTCTAATGTGTGTGTGGAGTGACAATGTGCCAGTTCTTTGCTTTATCTGATCTCAAAGCTGGAGATCACTTGAACTTTAACCTTTGCATTGAGTAAATTGAAAAGGACTTGCTGCTGAGGAAGGCACAAAGGCTCTGAGTGGAGATAGAAGAACACTTGTATGGGAAATTAAGCTGCCGGTTCAAAGCCAGACAGGAAATATTATCACAGAGGGGAAAAAATAGGCGTCAAGTGTGGACAAAACAGCACAATTTGTACAACTGGAAGCAGCGTGGACTAAAAAAAAGGTTTGGTTTACAATTTATTTAGATTAAAAGTCAATATATGAATGCTGTTTTTCATTTTCTAA